TTATTATTATTATTATTATTATTATTATTATTATTATTATTATTATTATTATTATTATTATTATTATCTTTCCATTTGTCATATAAACGTTTTTATAAATTACTCTATATTTTTTAGAATCATTATTTAACAATATAAACCAAAAATTACATGTACCATAATTGTATACAATGTTAAATAAATAATATCAATTCTATTTCATTTTATTCTACATACAAATCAAATTTAAACCATTTGACACTTTAATGATATATTGGTGAAAACACGATTGTGCGATGGAATACCATTCTGTTGCCATGGTTACATATATCTGAGAAAGAATATTTAATTTAAATATGTTATTGAATAGATCACGCATTATGATGCGTTGAGTTCTTAGAAAATTACCACACCGTGAATGAAGATGGTACGTGAAATGGACATAATATGAATTCATTTTTATTACACAAGAACATCAAGCTGATCTTCCCATGGTGGCGTAGAAGCGCTGGTATATTGATGCGTTGTGTTTCGGAATTCGATCCAAAGCGTTGCCAAGTATAAGCATGGTTATGCACGACCCGGGTATGATTTTTCTAAATATGTTAGCAGGTGCAGCAAATTGCGAAACAATAGTGTAATGAATCATTGAAAATGTCCATTGAGTTCCCAAGTCTGTTTTCCATCAACATAGACGCATAAATCAGTTGGGTGTTACCTTTGATTTCCCTGGAGTTCAAGATTTGACCCGGTTCCCACAAAATGGCAGCCATACGCCCTCTGCTATGAGTACATATAACAATCTATGTTTTCTACCATTATAATTCTATATTTCATCTCTCTTGTTCATAGTACTTTTTCTGGCAACCATATATTTTCTCAGAACTCAAAGTAATTGCAAAGTAACACACCTCAAAGGAAATGACAAAAAAAGTATAATCATAAAACACAAATAAACATGTACACATATTTGAACCAGGAAAGAGATAAATTGCAGTTCATTATTACCCTAAACCATGAACGGTTTTCTACCACCTTTTTCTAATGGTTAGCCCCTTAGTAAGTATTTTTCTGAAATTTGTTGCAGACACCCCTTCTTACTATAACATGTACAGAATAATAATAAAAAAATGTTGTACATCCATGTAACCTTCCTTGAAACCTTGCATAAATTAATTAAGGTTAATTGGTGTTAATCGCCCGGGGTGTCTCTGTTCAACCTTCTGTTTCATTCTGCATCAGAACCATTAGCCCATCGCCGATAAATGGGATGTACGCAACGAATCATAAATTATACATTTGGTAAATATCACTGAAATATGTAGAGATATGTGACAAAATGAAATTGGCAAGTCATAATAATCATTTATAACTTAAAACGAGTTACACTCTTTCAATAACATTGTATCCATTCTCTACTTCGAATATTCGAAATAAACATACACATGAAATACGATGGATGCTATACCCCAAAGGACTGAAATACAACAATACCTAAATCAACACCGAGACTGAAGACAAAAGGGCTTCACGCATTTATATATTACGTCTCAGTGAATCCACTGAATATAGCAATTATATTCCAATCTAAATATATTCTAATATATATTTTCCATTATTAAAGAAGCAATATGAACAAAACATAAATATATTACAAATTGTTGATCGATACTTCATGCTGTAGACCAATATCGAATTATGATTTATAACTAAAAATGTTGTATTTACAACACACACAACAGTATTCTCATTAGATGAATAATCAAAACACGAATACCCATCATTATCACAGTACGTTCTAAAAACAACCTCTGCAGAATGTCATTGTTTCATTGAAAGAATACTCAAATGTGTGAGACAAGAATAGTGTTTTCAGTTTATGGTATCTCATAACTAATGTATTCATCAATGTACTTTATCAAACAACAATATTAAAAATTAAATTATCTAATCCATATTACACCCTCAACACTCACCCATGATGGTTACAGGAACATAAGAAAAATTACAGCGAGAACAAAACTCTTTTCACGTGGAAGGTGCTTACGTAAGACAGTGTTGGTTCTTTGGTATTCTACGATAATCTAATCCCAAATTTGTAATGACCAAAATAATACCCCCAAAGAACATATGCTGATTTCGGTTGATGATTTTCCCAGTTTGCAATTCGTCTTCTCTGGGTTTAGGTGAATGCACGCCACTACCGAAATACTGAGTAAGAAAAAACGTGCTGGTGAACGCCCTCTAAACCCACTCATGCAGGACAATATTACAAATTTAGAATTTTTTTTATTTTTTATTCCATCCACGAATCTGCCAGAAAACGTGTACCTGTAAAATTGAAAAGTTATATGCGTTTTATAGATTAGTATATAATTGCTATGTAATGTATAAAGTGAATTTATAGATGGGTATCCCACCAATGTGATTGATCAATTGTAGCATTCATTGTTGTCTTAGTTTTAGTTGTTAAGACACACGATATCTACAGCAGCAAATTATTGCATTACTTATTAGTGTATTATATTTTTATGGACAATGTTCATTGTTAATAAATATGACTAGTTTGTGCACCCGAAGCCACGCGCATACATTATAAGTGTATGTCATTTATTTTGATAAAGTTAACAGATTAGCCTGTATTAAAAATATGCACCCTGGGTAAAATAATGTTTCTGTGTCAGAAACAGAGTTGGTTTAGTGAAGCAGTAGCTGCATTTGTTTCACAATTGCATACCCGTTTCGATTGATGTTCCAAAGACGCACAATCACAAGTTGATTTCATCAAGCTTTCTTTATGTACCATTTTCATTCAGTTAGTGAGACCAATTACATATATGACGTCAGAACAAGGTGTGCACACGATTTATCAACCAGGCGTCTTCCATCTAATATAGAAACGACACAGAATGTAACAATAGGCTCCATGAATAGACATATGCCCTCTATAGACAACTTAGGGAAACTGTATGTATGCGAGACGTAGTTATGCCCTCATCTCAGTTGTACTGCCATTATTAAATCTATATAATACAACACCGTCTGATACCCGTGATAATAACAAAACAGAAATACGTTTTTTAAGGATTGAATGTTCACGATACGTTTTAATAATTTTCATAATTTTTGGTGTATGAAAATACATTTGTCTGCAACATCATTAAAAATATGAATAATATTATATTATAATATAATTTATAAATAATATTGAATGACAAATGAGAATTAACATACAAGTAAAGTAAATTCATTAATTTGTATTTCACTCAAATTCTATAATTTGGGTATACAACTTTTATCTTTACCTTTTTCGCCACATTTTCAGCCTGGGTCACATAATATTATATTTTTTTCGAGCGTTTATGTATGGAAATTTAAAGCAATTTTACTCGCATGACGACACGGAATAACGTTTACATGTAATATATTTTGCTTTAAGCGTGAAACTGAATTACATATCGCTGACGGGGTGTCTTAATGGACCGAGGATAATTGTGAATATCAACATATACTCACAGTTACATCAACTGTCAAATTGTCGCGAGTTATCACAGTTACTGAATATTAACCGTGGAATTATCAGGGAATTTTTGGCGTGCGTGTGCCGACGCGTCTGTTCCCTTAATTATTTAACACAGTGAGCAATGAGATAACATTCATTTTATTTCTCATGTTACCTATATTTTCATGTCTCCATTTCGCTGCGAGAGGGCGAACACTGCGACAAAAACACGCACCTGTTATAGCCAATGATTTTCAATAATATAGCGGTAGGTGATTTACAATTGTGACTCACGACACAGGGTACAGATACCAAACTGATACCGACCCGTGTAACACGCATAATGGTGACTGAACAGCTGATTTCACCGGGACTCTACCGGACTGCTCGCGTTAAGTATAATTACATTCATCATTGCACTGTCGTTATGGTGATGCCGTGCCATATTGGTAAACAATACAATCGCATCCATCCATGCACTGCAATCTTGATGACAGATCAG